CGCAATAACCCCAGCTAGCTCCCTCAACACCCTGGGGTGGAGATCATCCGGACCCGCTGACTTGAATGCGTCCAGCCCCTCCAGAAGCTCTCTAACCCGGTCCTCCCCAACCTGAGGTCGGAAGGCAATCCCCTCGAGTCCGGCTTCTATCACAGCAGGGAAGTCCCGGTCCCTGCACAAGAAAACGGAGGTGAAGAATTGGTTAAAGAGGTCCGCTTTCTCCTCTGACGCAAATTAATGGGTTGGATCACTTTCCTTTTAGAAATTACCACATTTTATCAGGAAAAAACCTCAAAAATAGGAGGGTGGGCCTGAGTCAGTCTCCAGATACAGTTCCAACTTTCCCTTATTTTAGGAAAATTTACTTTTGGGTTTTGGTTCAGGCCCAAAACTATGAATTCTGCCTTCAAGCATGGATCTGACCTATGACCAAGCACCATCTCCAGTTGTAAAGGAATAGTTTTATAACCTGATTTGACAAGGAAATACAGATCCCTGTCAGCATTTTACTTTTTAGATCAGATGCTTTCCTTGCATGCCAGCATATAAATTATTGATGTGAACTTGGGAGGCCGCAGATCAGAGAGGCAGGAAAAGCCCATTGAATGGGTTGTCTTTACTCAGGAAAGACTTTTCTGGAATTGTCTTTCCAGAAGGACTCCTCATCTCTGCCTTTCTTCCTCTAGGATAAATGGGAAAAGCTGATCACACAGAAGAAGTCAGTGGAGCTTTTTGAACACGTCAGTTTGATGACTCTGGACAGCATCATGAAATGCGCCTTCAGTTGTCATAGCAACTGCCAGATCAACACGTTAGTACTGGGTCTTTTCAAAACCTGATGAAAACGTTCCCATTTCCCATGCCCATATTATCCTTGCTGATATGTTATCCAATTCTGACTTGTTCTGCAGTGACTTGGACTATTACATCAAAGCTGTGTATGACCTGACCTACCTGGTGTTCCATAGAATGAAGTTTTTCCTGCCTAAAAGCGATTTCCTCTACCAAATCAGTCCCCAGGGACGCCGCTTGCACAAGGCTTGTAAGCTAGCGCATCTCCATACAGGTATTTACTGTTGTCCTCCTTTCCATCTTCTCTTGAATGAAGGATGTCTCATCTGGTGCAATTCATCCTGGTGGAAAGGAAGGAGAATTAAGCTGGAGCCTGGGGCTGGGGTCAATTCAAGGGGGTCCTAGTATGATCCCCTCCTCCCAGGAGTCTTTGCCACAGACAACAGAAACACTAGCAGCTGCTATTTAAGTGAGGAGAGCGAGGGCAGGCAAGACTCCTCTCCCCAGACCCTTGCTTTCCATTGGTCAGCATAATTTCCAGCCTCTCTGGGTGCTTAAAGATCGTGCTGTGCTTCTGAGATTAACTGCTGTTCCACAGTGATCTTGTCTGTTGCAGTTTATGAATGGAAGCTTCTCCTCCTCCTCCTCCAATGAAAAAATAGTTTTTTAAGTCAGATAAAATACTAGGATTCAGATCTAGGCCAAATGCAACCCTGGTGGAACACCATTCCAGTTCAGTGGAGTCGCATCAAGGACAGAGCTGACCTTGGCAGCTGCTCTATTCCACCAATTTAGGCAAGTTGCTCAAACTCTCTGCAGCTCAGCTGGATCCTCATGAACGAGAGAGAGTAAACCATCAAAACATCTCAAAAGTTCTGCCAGCTCTATGGCAGGGATGGTACTTCAGCAGGGCAAATCTTATCTCCTACTCAGAGATATTATCTTCTGCTCAACAGCCTTATAGTTGAAGTAGGCATATGGATATTCACAGTAAGGGTGGTTAACCACTGGAACAAGTTACCTGAGAAGGAGGTGGATTCTTTATCTCAGTGTCTTGGGATGATATGCTTCAGTGAAACAGAAATGATTTGGGCTCAGGTACAGGGGGAACTGGGCCAAATTCAGTGGTTTCTGACTTGGGTAGAGAAGGTCTGACTAAATCATAACGGGCCCGTCCATCTTTAAACCCTAGGAATAGTCATCCTGAAATGAAAAGTATCATTTCAGCATGAGTGGTAGCCAGTGGTGATTACATTGGCAGACAAGGTTCTTTGGGTGAATCTGATCTCTTTTATTAGACCAACTTAAATAGTTGGAAAACAATTTTTAAGCAAGGTTTCAGGTGATTATATTGGGTCTCCAGATCTAAAAAGGACCAACTTTAATGTTAAACACCGCTACTTACTAGCTGGTGGCTTGTAAAGCTTCGCATCCTGTGGACTGGCACACTGGAAGGAGGGGAGAGCAGTTGGAGATAATGTATTAGTGTTAATTGATTAACGTACTGGATCAGAATCTGAGGCACACAACTAATTGCAACAGCTTGGCCTACACATGGATGGGTCACAGCTTTTTGTACTCTCTCTTATGCAGACAATGTAATAAGAGAGAGAAAGAAGATGCTCCAAGATGAGAGAGAACTTGAAAAGATCAAAAAGAAGAGACACTTGGATTTTCTTGACATTCTTCTCTGTGCCAAGGTGAGGATTCAAAAATACGTACATAAGCAGCCAAGAAGTATTCTTGTGTCTTACTCCATGTCAGCATCAACCAACTGCCTATTCTTGACAATAACTTCCTTATCCCTTACTACTTTCCTCCTCACATTGTCGGCCAATAGGTGGGTTGGAAGGGAAAGGAAGCAAAGCCGGAGGGGTGCATGTGACTTGCAGCATTCAGCAGATAAATTGCTTTGGGAAAAATGAATTTCTTCATCCCCACAAGTCTATTGTCATGGAACACATTAAGGGAACAGAGGCATCAAAGCACCAAAAAAAGAATGAGACTTTTTGGCACATCCCATGGAAAAATGGGGAGAGATTACGTTGACTGGTGTATGCAATATAAGGGGTGTACATCAGGATCTGGGGGAACACCTGTTCACCAGAACGCCCCAGGGGATGACAAGGTCCAATGGTCACAAACCCCTGCAAGACCATTTTAGACTGGACATAAGGAAAAACTTCTTTACTATCCGAGCCCCCAAGGCCTGGAATAGACTCCCCCCCAGAGGCGTGCAAGCACCTACTCTGGACTCTTTTAAGAAAGATTTGGGCACCTATTTTGCTGGGATCCTTTGACCCTAGTTGACTTCCTGCCCCTGAGGCAGGGGGCTGGACTCAATCTTCCAAGGTCCCTTCCAGCCCTAATGTCTATGAAAGCTATGAAATCAATTATTTAGCTCTTTATTTCTTGGTGATTGCATCCTTCCATTGGAAGATGTCTGCTAGAGACAGCTACCACTATGTTCTCAATGGAGTGGGGTCTCTTACAAAGGAGATGCACCCTCTGTATTCTCTCCCTCTGTCCCAGAACCTTCGCTTCCCTTCTCTCTCATTTTGTTTTTTCTTTTACCTTGTCATCTAACATGGAAGTAATCCTTGCTCAAAGTATACAGCTATTCTTGTTGTAGAAAAAAAGCATGGCGAGAACTTTTGTAGTGAGAAGAAGTTGGCACGTTAGTGTTCTTTGCAAGCTTTGCACCTGACATCTTAGTGAATCCAAGCTGGATCCAAGTAGGATCAAAGCTCAGCACCGATACTTGAGGGGGGTTGCCTGACTTAATTCCCGATGGACCTGACCTGACCTAACATAGACCAGGTTTTACTCCTTTACTGTCATTGCTGCTTGAACATAAATGAAATAGGAAAATCAGGCCTGTTAACTTCACTAATGAATTTTTCACTCCAGAAAAGAGCATGCAAATTTTCAGTGTTTTGGAATGACTCATCTTCCTTCTCTCTCAGGATGAAAACGGAGTTGGATTATCTGATGAGGACCTACGTGCCGAGGTGGACACGTTCATGTTTGAGGGTCATGATACCACGGCCAGTGGGATCTCCTGGGTGTTATACTGCATGGCTCTGTACCCAGAGCACCAGCAGAGATGCAGGGAAGAGATCCAGGAGATTCTGGGAGGCCGGGACACAGTTCAGTGGTAAGATCCAGCTCATTGTTCTACTAATGAGCAACTTAAGGTAAATTTTGTCTAAGAAGGAAAAATCATGACTATTTCATAGCTTCTTCATTTAGAGAAAAAAAACACTCATGAGTAACAAGGAGATTGAGAGTCAGATCCAAACAAACTTTGGGTTAAAGGCTCTTCATCACAGAAATGTTACATTTTTCTCTCATTAAAATGCAGCTGCTTTGTTGGGATAGAAAGCTTAAACCTCTTGAAGTCACTGAAGTTGCCATCAAGATACAAGGCAGCATTTGGCCTATAGAGTTTGATATATAAATGGGGGAAAGAAAAGAATCCAAAACAGTCTCTTGCAAAATTTAATCCCCAATAGCCAGAGCTGGCATTTTTAAACGTTCATTCAAGCACTTTAAAACACATCCTGGTGAAGCATTTGGTTATTTTTTTATTCACATTGTGATAGAGCCTAAAAACCCTAGTCATAGACCAGGGGTCATTGTGTTGTGTTGTAGAAACACAAAAAAAGCATGGCTTAAGTGCAGTTAGGAGAGCAAATGCATAGAGAGATGAAGGGTTTGTCTACACTGCTACATGAAGGCCTCTCCTAGACCTGACCACTAGCTTAAGTCTATCAACCATCGACATTAAAAACCTTTATGCTGAAGGCAAACTTCCTCTTAGCCTGTCTCTCCTATGCAGCATATTCAGACATCCCCAGAGATAAAACCTGAGAACACAGGAAGTCTACCAGCACCTGAATTCCTGCTCTTGGATATCCTGCTTCCTGTCTTGACTGTCAGTCATGAGAGTAAAGCAGAGAAGTAACTCGTGTGAGGATGGATTCCTAGAAAAACTTGTGTTTGGGATTCTGTCACAGCAAAATAATATAGATTGGGAGTAGGGCACATGTCTGGAGATAAGGTTGAGCCTAAATAGCACTATAACTGTAAGCAATGTCCAGTTCTGGCAGGACATCCGTACCAGAAGTCATTATGGACCTCATAATTAATAACTCAGCATTAAGCTTTGGTTCCAAGATCACTTTCTCCATCTTTAAATGATAAAAATGTAGTATGACTGGCTGAGGCCAGATGCTTCTGGCTGGTATTTTTGTCATGGAAGGTGCTGCCCCATTTGCAGTTTCTACCTGTGGTTGCTTTCAGGGAGGACCTTGGTAAGATGACTTACACCACTATGTGCATCAAGGAGATCCTGCGCTTGTACCCACCAGTCCCTAGGGTGTCCCGACAGCTCAGCAAACCCATCACATTTAACGATGGCCGGAGCTTACCAGAAGGTTTGTCTACTCATTTTGCACTCAGGAGTATAACTATCTTGCACCACCACGCTTAACACCCCCATGGAAATGATCCTTTGCCCTTGAACACATCTCGTTCCAAAGAGATGGCATAGGGCTGCTATGCAATTGAAGGGGAAGAGCTCATCGAGCAGCTTGTGGTGCTCAAGGGTCTCATTATGCATCCATTATCATTTACAATGTGACTCTTGGACTGGGTGAGGGAGAGCGCCCTTGATCCACCACCGATAGTTGCCACAGGTTCTCTCAGATTCAGTGCTACCCAACTGGTGGCCCATGGGCTTCATGTGTGGCTCACCTGGGTGTGGCCTCCACTGGTACAGCCATGTAGGTCAACATAGTGCTGGGAGGGTGAGGGAATGTGGCCCATACAGTGTGGTGGGGGGACAAGGCCAGCATGGTGCTGTGGATGTACACAGCCCCTGCAATGTGTGTTTGCCAGGCCTGGGGCCTCAGGCCACTCAGAAGTTG